GCAATATGGTTAAGAATAGAATTTGCTACAACTTTTGTTCTAATAGTTGTTTTATAACATGTTCCAATTCCAGAGTATTACCTATAAAATTTGAAAATCAACAATTTCATCAAATTTTCATATTTTCGTATTTTTCTCAATATTGACGCATCCAAGAGCAAAAGTGCAAGAGGACAATATTGTTAAGAATAGAATTTACTATAACTTTTGTTGTAATAATTCTTTTATAACATATTCCAATTCCAGAGTGTTATCTATAAAATTTGAAAAATCAACAATTTCATCAAATTTTCATATTTTTCCCGATATTGACGCATCCAAGAGCAAAAGTGCAAGAGGGCAATATTGTTAAGAATAGAATTTGCTACAACTTTTGTTCTAATAATTCTTTTATAACATATTCCAATTCCAGAGTGTTACCTATAAAATTTGAAAAATCAACAATTTCATCAAATTTTCATATTTTTCCGGATATTGACGCATCCAAGAGCAAAAGTGCAAGAGGGCAATATTGTTAAGAATAGAATTTGCTACAACTTTTGTTCTAATAATTCTTTTATAACATATTCCAATTCCAGAGTATTACCTATAAAATTTGAAAAATCAACAATTTCTTCAAATTTTCATATTTTCGTATTTTTCCCGATATTGACGCATCCAAGAGTAAAACTGCAAGAGGACAATATTATTAAGAATAGAATTTACTATAACTTTTGTTGTAATAATTCTTTTATAACATATTCCAATTCCAGAGTGTTACCTATAAAATTTGAAAAATCAACAATTTCATCAAATTTTCATATTTTCGTATTTTTCCCGATATTGACGCATCCAAGAGCAAAAGTACAAGAGGGCAATATTGTTAAGAATAGAATTTGCTACAACTTTTGTTCTAATAGTTCTTTTATAACATGTTCCAATTCCAAAGTGTTACCTATAAAATTTGAAAAATCAACAATTTCATCAAATTTTCATATTTTCGTATTATTCCCGATATTGACGCATCCAAGAGCAAAAGTGCAAGAGGGCAATATTGTTAAGAATAGAATTTGCTACAACTTTTGTTCTAATAATTCGTTTATAACATATTCCAATTCCAGAGTATTACCTATAAAATTTGAAAAATCAACAATTTCATCAAATTTTCATATTTTCGTATTTTTCCCGATATTGACGCATCCAAGAGCAAAAGTACAAAAGTGCAATATTGTTAAGAATAGAATTTGCTACAACTTTTGTTCTAATAGTTGTTTTATAACATGTTCCAATTCCAGAGTATTACCTATAAAATTTGAAAAATCAACAATTTCTTCAAATTTTCATATTTTCGTATTTTTCCCGATATTGACGCATCCAAGAGCAAAAGTGCAAGACGGCAATATTGTTAAGAATAGAATTTGCTACAACTTTTGTTCTAATAGTTCTTTTATAACATGTTCCAATTCCAGAGTGTTGCCTATAAAATTTGAAAAATCAACAATTTCATCAAATTTTTATATTTTTCCCGATATTGACGCATCCAAGAGCAAAAGTGCAACAGGGCAATATTGTTAAGAATAGAATTTGCTACAACTTTTGTTCTAATAGTTCTTTTATAACATATTCCAATTCCAGAGTGAGTTTTTCAATAAAAAATTAGAAATGTTGCTCAAAGAATGGCCCGAATTAAATTAGCGATGATGCTTTGGTTTTTGTTGGGTCTAACTTGGTTATTTTCGATTTTGGTTGAAATTTTACCGGAAGGTTATTTTCAAACGATTTGTTATTATATTTTTACTTTTGTCGCACCTTTAGAAGGGTTTATTGTATTCATTTTTTATGTTATTTTAGATAAAAGTACCAAATTTTATTGGTTTAGTGCCGCTAAAGCTACTTCTTGATTAATTAATTGTTAACACAAATTATTTAATAAAATTTTATTTCTAATTTATTTAGTTAATTCTATTCTTATGTCCAAAAATAAATCCAAATTTATAGAAACTGGGTTCTATAATAACTGATTTCTTCAAATTGAATAAGGAGACCTTTATTATTGTTATTATTATTGCTGCCGGGCTGAGGAGAGTGGCCCCTCCAAAGGTTTAGGGCAAATGTAGGTCCTTAAGAGGGGAATCTCTTTTTTTCTATTAAATAAAGTGATATCTTTCGGAATATTTGGCTGACAAACTAAGTGTTCTTCCAATTTAATCTTTTGCGTAAGTTTAGAACATATTGTGATAATTTTAACATTCTCTTAGTTCACCCAGTGAACATAACCTAGAATTTGTGACAGATTTTTTGTTGGTGAAAATCTTATCTTAAACCGTTTTGTTTGCTTCCAAAAGTATCAATTATTATAGTTCAGCTCCTAAAACACATTTTTCATCCATCTTTTAAGGTTTTAACGTTATTTTGAGGAAGAAATCCTTGATTTAAGTTTGAATTTTTCTAACTTTACTCATTGTTGAAATTTGGCATGTACTCCAATGTATGTCTAAAAACAAGAAAAGACAACGTTGAATACGAAGTTTTATTACGTTTCATAAAGGAATAAGGGAGAAATCAACGAAAAAAGAATTTAATTTTGAAGGTTAATTCCGAGAAAAATCAAGAGATGACGCTAGTTTCAAAGCAAGAATTTTGAATTTTGAAAAGGGCGCGAAGCTAAGAGCCAATCAGAAACGAGAAAAAAACAGTTGGAGTGCCGGGGTATATAAGGAGATCGCGAATAGGGAGAGAGAGAGTCGTCGTCGGACCAGCGTCGAATCCACGTCGTCAGATAGAAGAAATTTTGAATCTCAAGAGATAACCTCAAAAATTTTAGATAATTTTTTAAAGTCAAATCAACTCACGATATTAAAATAAAAAGAGAATCATCCTACAACCTATTCCGAGAACTACTGATACTTCTTCGAGATCATCCAAGACCCTATTTCCGAAGAACAAGCAGTTCAATTTCCCGTAAGAAGAATCCTGTAGACAATCCAGAAAATTAGTTAGTGCCCCGAACACAAGAGACAATCCATAATCCAGATACCACATTGAACTCCAATCCTTTCTTTTTCGCAGTGAGTCGGATGATAATTTTATTTTCTTATTTAACATAACCTACAAAAAGAAAAATCAAAGAATCAAACTCAAAGAACATCTCACAAGAGTTTCCTATAATTTTGATCAATACTTACTTGTGGGTAAAGATTTATTAGTTTTCTTGAATAACGTTCATTTATTTAACTCTATTTTTCTTCAACGAGTTTGATGACAACTTAAGACGTTGGCCATTTGTTATTTTCAAAGAACGGTTCTAACGAGTTTTATCCCAAGGTTTATATATAAGAGGTTGTCTAGGTTCGTACGCAACCATACTGCGCATTACGTCACATGTGGAAAATAATACCGCTAAGCAATTCAAATTAAACAAAGGCATGGAGCACCACATGGCCATGAGATTGCGTGCGCAATCCGTGATCGCTTACGTCACGAAACAGTCCTGCTCTTGCCCCTCGCGCACAAACTAAAATCAAAGTATTGCAGCATAGGAACTTAGACAACCTTTAATATATAAACCTTGGTTTTATCCTACTCTCTCTCTCTCTCTCAAATAATAAACGGGTTCTCTCTAATATCGATATTTCAGTCGATAACCGCAGTTATCTATTTTATTTAAAAGTTATCTCTCGTAAATAAACATTGTTATTAAAGTAAATTTAGGAAAACAATTTTTTTTTGTTACTCATAAAACGAGTTAATTTGATTTTGTGTTTAATTAAATGAATTTTTGTCGAACCTGATTAATTTTCTTTTTGAACCTGAACTTGCCCGAAACCCTGAGTTTAATAAGAGTCTCTCAAAATTAAAGAAACCCAAATTTATAGTTTAATAACTTGTGTAAAAACACACAAGTAAAACATCACACGTTGTATAAAATTTTGTATTTATCCAATTCTAAGGAGCTAAATTATATGAAAAAAATAGAATGTGACCTCAAGTAAATTAGTACTTCCGGTTGCCATATTTGATCCAAAAGTTCATGAAAGTTTTTAGCATATAGTCCTATAGCCACATACCAAGTTTCAAAAAATTATCTCAACCCAAACTGTGTTAAAATATTTTTGTTCGGGTTTTTTCAAATTTAGACCACTGTGCGGCGGTGCCGCCATTTTTAACGGATTTTAACGGCCTACACACGTAGACTCTTGTGGCGTCGTGCCGCACTTCTTTAACCGCTATCGACGGACCTATACCAATGCATATCTGGCCAGACAATAGCCAAGAAATTGGCTGCAGAATACCAATCCTACTTGCTGAAGACTAAATACTTCCTATACAGGACAAATAATTCCTTGCGGAAGACAAATACTACCTATACAATACTAGACACTGCTTAAAAAGATAGATATTGTTTATACAAGGCTAGGTACTGCTATCAATAGACTACAAATTGGTTCCAGAATACTAATACTGCTTGTAGAAAATTAAATATTGCTGGCAGAAAGCTAAATACTGCCAGACAATTTTACAAGCTCATTTATGGCGGTA